TCCATGCGATCAAGATCCATTTTCTTGTGATTAGGTTCATCTTGCTCTTTCACCAAGCTTCCTTTCTTTTCACCGATCCTACAAAAAACATTCAAATGCAATCTTATCACATCATGTATTAAGAATCAACGAATAGGAACTTAACGGAGTTAGATAGTGGATTTTACCTGAAGCGTAGTCATACTTTTGAATCTCCCATCTCTTAGATCTCTTAGGTAAATAGGGCAACTTCATCTCCAATGTCCCTTCTCTTGGCAATAAAAGCAAATTGACTCTTTTGGAACAACACATGGAACTACTTCAGACATTGCCTTTCTCTTATGATCAAACTTTTCGATCATTGCATGTCTTTCATTGCCATTGTCTATATCCATAGAGGTCTTGAAGGCAGATTCACCAACCAACTTTTCTTTTCTATTGCGCCAAACCATTGTTGGTTCAGCAGGAATAAGCATATAGGTGAGATCAATAAGGGTCACGTCGTGGTTCATCATATAGTACTCTCTTACGAACTCACTATACGAGTTAGGAAGTGACTGAAGAACCCAATCAACAACCATCTCTTCACCAACAATGGATCCCATCATTCTTAACCTATCAATGTGTGACTTCATCCCTAAGACGTGTGCACACACCGACTTTCCTTCTTTATGTTTACTTGCCAAAAGGGCTTGAGTGATATTAAACCTTTCAATTTTACAATCTTGTGGGTTAGGGAGAATAATTGGAGGAGTAGGAGGAAGTGAAGCATGATTTCTTGTTCCTCGATCGAATCGTGGAATATCATCTTCATGTGGAATGCTTGTTCCACGGGATTCAGGAAGACCATAATTGTCGAACTTTGACATCTACAAAACGGGAGAAAACGAATTCACGTTAGTTGATTGATTGAGTCCTTGGTAAATCACCCAAATGAGATACTAAGGCTAGGACCCAACACAATATGCTACAACCTAGAAAAGGGATGCCGTAATGTAGTTGCAGAATATTTGAAGGTAAGTGAATGACGATTCACCAATTTCCACCATGAAAAACGAAAAATAAATTTAAGTTTTAAATCTATGAAAACTCCTAGATCCTTTGAGATTCATTGAACATTTCAATGGCATGTTTAAATCTCGATATGCCCCTCTTGTTTGTGACTGGGATGCCGAGGATCACAAAGCGGGTGTGAATAACCATGCAAAGTTACATGGTGCCCTCACATGTTACAGTCACCTATTCGATGCATGTGCTGGTAAACCACACACGCTCCACCGAACTATGACAAACATTGAATCACCCTTTGCTACCTTTCTTAGAACCATTTAGTGTGCCGGTAAACCACACACGCTCCACTAACGTCTTCGCAAGGGCACAAAGTGTAATTTCATGGAATTGCATCAATTCACTTTTGCCTAAGAAACTAAGATTGGGAATTTGCAAAACATTTAGTTACTTTGTATTTCATTATACTTATAATGGAAGGTTTCTTCCTCTCCTACCCGTTCGTCTAACAACCCTCCACTAGTCAAGAGTGCGGTGGGTAAGTGGATACCCATTCAATCGCCATTTTATAGGCAATTTCCTTAAACACCCCTTATAGACCAGCTTCGTGAATGAGGCCTACTAACGGTAAGATTGACTTTTACTCATACATATATATAATGTTAGACTTTTAATGTTATATATAGTATAGGGTGCATTTTATACTTTTAAAATACTATGAGGTTAACTTTAACAATTACACTTTTAATTCAATTAAATGGTTAACCTAAACTTTTATGGATTTATTAAATCTCTTTTAATTATACTCCTTAATTAACTAATAAAACCATAAGGGTGTATTTGAACTTTTCAAAACATTACTAGGGTTTTAGAATTTAACATTCCTAAATAACTTTTAATCAACTTTTAAATTCCAAAACTTGAGGGCAAGTTTTGAAACATTTCAAAAACATTAGGGTTTCAACAATTTAAATTTCAAAACAACAAAACTTTGGGTTCAAATTTAAACTATAAAACCTAAAGGGCAAAATATGAAACTTTTCATAACAACAAGGATCAAATAACAAATAATCTAAACTAACATTTAATTACATAATTATCCATATTTGATTTGTTTAATGATTTCTTGCAAAACAATTTATCAATTTACTCAAAATAATTAATCAATTATCTTATAAGGAAACAATTATCTTATTAATTGATAAATATCTTCAATTAGATCAAAAATATAGTCAAATATATCATATAATCGGATTAATATTGATCTAACATGATAAGGTAATTATCCATATGCAAAAATAGCAAGAAATCCCGAGATAAGCACTATCTGACGAGTTGACTCGTCGAGTCAAGCCTGGACTCGTCAAGTCACCTTGGACTCGGCGAGTTCAGCTATGGACTCGGCGAGTCCAGCCTCCAGAACACCAAAAATCAAATTTTTTCAGTTATACAATGCATCAATACAATTGAAACCAAGCTAGGCTCTGATACCACTGATGGGTTTTGGTCATAAGACATCCTATGTGCTCATACAAACCCTAATGCTTGGATCTAGGTTTCTCTATTGTACATGCTTTGAATCCAAGACTATAAACCCTAATTCTAGCATTCAAGTAATCATATTAATATGTAATTAGGTTTAAGATCATACCTTGATTGTTATGTAGCAATAACAATCCCAAAACTCCTTGTAATGACTTTGGAATGCTTAGAGTCACAAGTGTCACTCCTCTAATGGCTTACAAACACCAAGAGCAAATGGAGAAGGTATAAAGAGAGAGGAGAGAGGTTAGAAGTCGTCCTTAGGACTCCTTGGGAAGAGATACACGAATTCATGAGCCAAGGGGTGTTTATATAGGTGTAGAGATAGGGTTTCAGTCATTATCCTTATCTAGTTGCTTATCCACAAAGCAACCCATAAGATAATCCTTGAATCCTTATCATAGTCGAATTCTAAGGCCTTATCACCTCAAATTCGTTCACCATATATTTAAGATAATCCTTACCTTATTTTGTAACTATCACATAATTACAAATCAGCCCCTCTAGTTTAATTGATTACACTTGATCAAAAAATTAATTCCTAATTAATTATTGACCAATATTAATTAAACAAATATGATTTCTCCTTTAATATATTATTCTTATAACATATTAATAAATCATAATATCCTCTCTTTCTTTATTTATTTCTCCAATCAAGTTGCTTTGGTGAAGGCAACCCAAAAAGACTATGCACCATCGGGTCAAGTACATACCAAAATAGTTATGGACTTAGACACTAATCCAACAATACATACAGCCACCTATGCGGTGGTAGGCGGCAGCAAGCGGTGGCAGCCACCACCTTATGGTAGTGGCGGTGGGTTTCTAGCCAAAAATCATGCATACTACACCGTAAATAATGAAAAGCAACTAGCATGCTCGAATACACACCCATACAGCCACCGCCTAGGCGGTAGATGTCGCCAAAAAAGATAAAAACGATGGCCCTTGACAGTAATGACGATTCCGACGTCGCATTCACGGAAAAGAACGAGAAAGAGAAAAAGGTAGGTTGTGGTGGACTTATCGTGTTATGCTGGTTGACTCACGACCCTCACACGACGGCGATACAGCCCTCCTTCGGTCATCGATGATCTTCAGGCGACATGCGAGATTTGGCTCCGGGGCTTCCGGCTTCGTTGGCAGTAGGTATTACCGGCAGCGGCTGTGGCAGTCGATCTCCATTAAGCGGTGACGGTTGAAGAGGGTTCACATGGTGGTGGAAGCTGCTGCATCATATTAGGTTTAAGGTTGAAGATACCCGATGAAGTATCCTGAAGCGGGAAAGGAAGGGGGCCCGAGTCTAAACCCGTGATCCTTTCAAACATTTTTCACTTTTTTCGAGTTCAACCCCTCCTCCTCCAAAACTTTTCAAATTAAATCCAAAATTTACCATTTAGCCCCTATCACTCCAAACTCCTTTCAATTTAAGTCCTAATAATTACCATGTAGCCCCTATCTTCAGAAATCCTTTCAAATTAAACCCATAATTAACTAAAGAACCCTCAACCTTCAAAATTATTTATAAATAAATTTGGAAATTACATTTTAACCCCAAACTCTCAATTATGACTTTTTAACCCCCCCCCCCCACCCCCCTCTCTCCCAAACCAATGCCTTGCTAAATTATTCCACATTTAGGGCTATTATTCATTTATTTATTTTATCTATTTATTTATTTAATAAACGAAATGTTACATATTAGATTAAATTGTATATGTTTATTTAATGAGCTTTTTCAGAAAAAGAAAAAAATAAATAAATAATTAAAAAGCTAAATGGGTTTGAATTTTAAAGCAAAAAGATATAAATAGGAGAATTAAATTAGAAACAATATTCATCAGAGAAATTGATATCTCGTATATAAATATAATGATATGTTTTAATTGATAATATAATTGATGAATTTAAAAAGTCTATAATTAAATATAAGTGTATTTGAATTCTATTTGGAGAAAATGATGTACTAATTTGATCTAAAATTGAAAAACATAAAATTAAAATACAATTGATGGTCCTTATTGTTTTCTTGGTGAATTAAACTCTCTGATATTATTATTAGTGCTTAATAAAATGAATATCTATAAAAAAAAAGGAGTGTGGAATTATTTTATGATAAAAAAAATTCAACTATTTCAATTATTTTTCAAAAACAATTGTAAAAAAAAAAAAACAAAGAAACTTTTAAATTTCAAAATAATAAGTTTCACCAAAGATAAGTAAACATAGTTCACATTTAAAATTACACAAAAAAATATATATTATTTATCTCATGTTATTTTTAAATAATATTTAAAGATAAGATAATGGTTTTGTTGACCATTTAAGGATAATATGTAGGGTTTTTGTAGAGTTTTCCTTTAAATAATAAATTATAAATAAAGAGGTGTTACCATTCATCCTGGTACTCTCACCTTCCTTCGCCGTCACCAACCACCAGCGAATCCGAAAGGATGAGTTTAAAAAGAATGATTGTTGTTCTCCTGCTCGTCCTCCACTTTATTGCACCATCCGCGGCGGATATCGTATCTTTGAATATCAGATCCAGTGGCCAACATAAGATCCGCTTGTCGGAGTTCGTATTTTCAGATACCGGTCACGTCTCCTTCGAAATATCGTCAGTATCTGTCACATCCTCTACATCGCAAACCGATACTTCACGAATCGGTTTCTTCCTTCTCTCGCATGGATTGCTAAACGAATACTTTCTCGAATTCAAACGAAACCCTAGTTTGTGCGTTCTGAATAACAAATTCATCTCACTCCTCTTCACTTTCCAGAATCTCCGGTCTTCTTTCAACACATCGTACCCAGTGTCATCTCCAGGTGTGTATTCACTCTACTTCGCCAACTGCAACCGCCAATCCCTTGTGTCGTTTGACGGCCGCACCGAGCTCTACAACTTGGATGACGGCACCACCAAAGACTATTTATCAGCTGGACTAACACACCTCCCGTCTGTTTACTTCATCTTCTCGGTTCTTTATCTCAGTTTTCTAGGGTTTTGGATCTCTGTATGCGTCAAGAACCAGCGTCGTTTTCACATGATTCATTTACTAATGGGTGTTTTGCTTGTTATTACTATCGGACACTTTATATGTGCTGAGGTTGATCTACATTACCAGAAGGTTACCGGCACTCGTCAAGGAATGGATGTCTTGGTTTACATATTTCAGGTTGTCAGGTGTGTACTTTTGTACACCCTGATCGCGTTAATTGGTATGGGATGGTGTTTGTGGAACCCTTTTTTGCATGCAAAGGAAAAGCTGTTTTTGTTGATTGTTATCTTACTTCAAGTTTTGGCTAATGTATGTTCTATCAAGGGAGGGGTAACCGGCCTTTATAACGAAGACCAGTTGAATAATTGGCAGTTGGATTTTATTTCTATAGATTGCGTGTTTTGCCTTGCTATTTTCGTCCCCTTTGTGGGGTCACTTATCTTGTTGAAAAAGACTTGTGAGACTGACAGGAATGCTGCTAGAAATATGGCGAACTTGGGATCATTTGTGTTGCTGGTTTTTGCATATGTGCTATTTACGAGGATTATTGTTAGTGCATTCGCTACCTTTGTAGTTTACAAGAACCCATGGATGATTAATGCGGCAGAAGAAACCGTCAGTCTCGTGTTTTGTATGGTGATGTTTTACTTGTTCCGGCCATATGTTGAGGACGAAGAGGCGGATGAAGATGAAAAGGCAACTGGGATGGTAGATGAGGAGTTTGGCCTTATGACTCCTTTGTTGATTTTTCGTTCATGGTAGTTTTTTTTTTTTTTTTTTTTTTGTTGGAATAGCTTCTTTTTTAATTTTATTTTATTATTATTATTTTTATATTTTTTAGAAGTCTCAAAAGCTTTATGTCCGACTTTTATGTTTGTTCTTTCTCATTTAAGTGGTAGATTGATGGACAAGCTTGACTTGAATGGTACTTTAGCTTTGCGTCCGATTTATTCAAACTTTTATTACACCCTTTGACACAATATACTAAGTTTATGCATAAATAGTTTATTTATTCATTTATGTAAATTTTATAATATAGCAACTAGAAAAAAAAAATTGTTTTATTTTGTTGCAAATGAAACTTAGGCTATACTGTATATGGAGTGGTCCACGTAGGCATGGAAAAAATCCTCAAACCCAACGGGGAACCGAAACCCGCACCTCATTTGGCCTTAAACCCAAAACGGCTATCAAATTAAAAACCTGATGATGATGGTATGTGTTCTGCCCTTATTAGGGAAGACGGAGTCGTAACAGGTTCAAGGAGTAGAGGGAGGAGCGGGAGGATAGCAAGAGAGAAAGAGAGGGGTGTTGCGGTTTGAGTGGGTTCGACTCCCTCCACGGTGGGTTCGGCAGCTTCAGCAGGAGGAGAGCGAGGACGGAAATGACTCGTCCTCCCTTAGATGTAGTCCATCCGATTTAAAACCAATACACATTAAGTAGCCAAAAAGCCTTTTAAGTTTTAAGTTTTCAAGATATTTGTTTTTACGATTCCGATTACATGACTAGGCGGCGTGCCATGTAATTTTCATTTTTGGTTGACATGGCAGTGTGTTGTCATTTATTTAAGAATAGACTAGAAATTGAAGCAATGAAGATGAAAAGATTTGAACCCTTGTAAAACATAAGCTCTAAGAAACAACTCTACCACTAGGCTAGAATACTCTTTTTGTATTTAAATCTTTGACATCTCAGAATTTAGGACAAAAATTATAACCAACCAATTGACAGTGATACTCATGTTAATCTGAATTACTGAGTTTTACTGCATTTTAAGAAGAACAAGTAAGTTCATTCTAACTATCATATGATACCAGATGATATCACACTTCCAATGGATAACGAATCAAAACGCACAAACACTACAAGAAAAGTTTTTATTAGTGACTATCTAAAATTTCGTCACTGAAAGCATCTTTTAGTCACCAGAAATTAAGTGGTCACTCAATTTTGGTAATCCCAAAAATTTAATAACCAATTTTATGTGGTGGTCACTAACTCAGTCACTAAACTGTTAATAAATTAAACTACTTTTGTTTCATATCATAACAACTATTTAGTGACTACAATAATGGTCACTATGTTAACTATACAATGACTAAGACGGTCACTGTATTAGCTGCTTAGTGATAAAAAAAAAACGATCACTGTATTGGAGGTTTAGTGATCAAAAATAATGATCATTCACTACTCTTATTCAAAACCACAACCTTACTCTTTTATTATTGAAAATTACTTAAATGTGGAAAATAATTAGTAACCACTCAATAGTAGTCACTAATGAATTACAAGTAAAAAAAACAATTAGTGACTATAAATTAGTCGTCGATGAATTACATGTAATCAAAAAATTATTGACAATAAATTAGTGGTCATGGACTCTATATATATATAATTTTCATTTAATAAAAATGAAAATAATTTTAATTAATATTTTTTATTTTTGAAAATGACAATGTTTTCTTTTTACACATAATTTTTAAAAGAGTTGTTAAATAACTAGATAGCTGTGAGTTTATTTGATGAATATATTTTTATATAAAAGCCTTTTTCCACGTAATAAAAATGAATACAAATCGGACCTTTTCACGATCCATTAACCAGTGTTTTCACCGCTCCATCTCCTGACATCCCCTCCGGATCACCTCTGCCACCATCAAATTGATTATCCCGACGAATCTCTGCTTACAGCTTTCCCTAAATCGACACACTAACGATCGACAGTTCGGAACTAACGTCGTCGATCCATCGTTGCTCCATACCCTCCCATCGACGCACCTCTGTTCTCCAATCGAAGTCAAACATATACTCTTTTCTTCGCTCCGGCCATCGATGTAGCTACATCTATTGCTCTCATGTCGCATACATAACTTTTTACTAATCAATTGTTCAATTGCTAATCAATCGGCTTCTTGATTCCAGGAAATATGATTACATCGCTTACATCGACTACATGGAATCACTTGATGCACTCCTTCTCTTCCGGGTTGTGTATTCATCTATTTCCCTTCGACCTATATTTTCAGCATTTAGGGACTGCAGTTCATCTTCTTCCGCATTCAATAGCATGTGCACAACAGTTGTTCGATGAAATGCTCACACAAATATAGAGTGCATTTCTACTATGGGTCTGCATCTCGTTCGACTTATTGCACATATAGTTCCGCTGCAAGTTTCTTCCTAAAGTTTCCTGCAGGATTGGTTATACCTAAGTATATCATCTCCATTGGTTCATAATCGGTGAACTCTCTCTCTCTCTCTCTCTCATTTTTCTGAAGTTGTCAAATCGATTTCTCTACGTTCTATCATAAATGAATCACTTGTTGGTCCTCAATCGATTTCTATGATTAGTTGAGTTTCTTTTGCTTTCTGTAAAGTTGTAATTGTTGACTTATGTTTTGCTGAGTAATTTGTTTAGATTTTTGTGAAGTCTGCATATCATCGGTTCATCACTCTTTTTGATTTTTGTTGATACCTGATTGTCGAATGATCTTCAACTCTACATAGATTCAATTCATAACTTTCCAGTTTTGATTTTTGTTGAGACTTCATATTTGATCAATTGATTGTTCATTTGTTCTTGGATTGTAAATAAATTTCAGATTATTTCTAAATTCTGAAATCTTGTTGATTGTTTCTGAATTCTTGCTGATTGCGATTGTAACCACAAATAAATTCTTTTTTGACATTCACTTCACAAAAAGATCTGAATTCAACTCGATTGCCCACAACGGTTGTTGTAAGCGCGCAACTCAAACAAGAGCTTTGTCATCAGTTCTCTTGAAGTTACTAACATCCGAGAAGCTTCTAGAACCATTAGTAACGACCGAGATGCCATTAGTGAATGTTCTTTATGATATGGAAGTTTCCGGAATAGGTGTTGACATGGAGGGGTGTATACAATCGCGTCTTGTGATTGGTAAAAAACTGAGATCTTTTAAAATCGAAGCTTATAAATTAGCGGGTACGAGGTTTTCTTTGTACATGTCAGCAGATTAAAACTGCCAGTTCGGGAATGGTATAAAGGGAAACAACACCCTAGTACTGACAAACATTCTTTAGAATTATTAAGGTACATTTTTAATTTTTTTAGCGTAACAACTTATTAGATGAAGAGATGATGATTGTTTGTTTATTACTTTGTTTTTAAGGTTTGAGCATCCTATTATTCCTATTATTAAAAAACACCAGACATTAGTCAAGCTTTTAAACTGTACATTGGGTTCTATTTGTTCACTTTCTAAGTTATCTATGAAGACTTAAAGATATACCCTTCATGGACATTAGCTCAAAACTTCAACAGCAACAAAAAGGTTATCCATGGAGGATTCCAATCTTCAGGTTAATATCTTCTCTTCTTCTTATTTTCTTCCTTTTTCTTTTTTGTTTTTCTTATAAATATTTCTTCGAGTGCGTCGAGCATATGGTTGAATTCAAGATTGATAGCAATGAAAAAGAAGGTGATGATTCAGACATGGAACTCTACAAAGTAAATCCTTATGATTTCTTCATTCCAACTCATGTCAATATTTATTTTGTTCTGAATATTACAAGTTATTCAATTCGTTAATGTATAAAATATAAAGGGTATATATATATATATATATATATATATATATATATATATATATATATATATATATATTTCATGCAGGAAAACTGGTTATTGGTAACTGCAGATTATTCTCAGATAGAACTGAGATTAATGGCTCATTTTTCTAAAGACCAATCACTGATTGATCTTCTGACAATGCCTCTTAGTGATGTGTTGAACATGATCACTGCAAAATGTTCAGGAAAAGAAGTCTTTAGTGGGCCCCAAAGAGCGAGATCAAACTAAAAGATTGATTTATGAGATTTTATATGGTATGGGTGCAAATTCACTTGCTGAACAGCTGGAATGCGGTCCAGATGATGCTAGAGACAAAATTCGTAGTTTCAAAATATCTTTCCCTGGTGTTGCTTCTTGGCTTAAAGAGGTTGTTGCAATCTGCCATAAAAAAGGGTAAGATATAATCAATAATTTATTATTTATTTGTTTACTTATTAATTTAACATATGTTAATGGTATTTGTTATATAGTTATGTCGAAACTTTGATGGGAAGGAAGCGGTTTTTGGCAAAAGTTAAGTTTGGAAATAGTGAAGAAAAATCAAAACTCAGAGATAGGCTGTGAATTCCATTTGTCAGGTACAATATTTAAAAATATTTTTTTTCTCATTTTAGTAATTTATATTAATTTATAAACTGCATGTGTTTTTGTAGGGATCTGCATCTAATATAATAAAGGTTGCAATGATAACTATACATGCTATGATAGGTGAAGGTATTTACTAGTCAATAGCATCCAATTTGATGAATGATTCCATATACTTAAGGGTCGGTGTAGAATCCTTCTACATGTCAAATTCTAAAATTGTTATTCTTCATCATATTTTCATAAAAGTTAGATTATTATATTGGAAGATGGCTGAAGGGTATGTTGGACATTTTGTAATCTTTAATGCTCTTTAGGTACATGATTTCCAACAAACTGCAATTCATCAATGGAAAAAGAAAGAGTTCGTCAATGGAGAAGAAGTATCATTCATTGAACGTTACAAAGATTTGACATTCTTCGAAAAAGAAAAATCAAATGATCAATGAGAAGGCCGGAGAAATTTGAGTATTTTTAATATCTTGACATATTTATGAATAATTTTCGTTTTACTTCTAATGTAAATTGTTTTGTTATGCAGAATGAATTGCTAAATGAAGAAGCTTCTTCTTGTTGTTCGCCGGCTGAAATATGTATGAAAAAACTACAATTCGTGTAATTGGAAAAGTTACAAATGGAAGTGGAATTGGAAAACGAAAAATCAAAAGCCTTGGAAGAGGAAATTCGTGTAATTAAAGAAGAGCAACTACAATTTTAAGAAGAGCAAATCAAATATCGAGAGGAGCAAACTAAGAAAATGGAATTTATGATGAGTGAGCTTTCACGTTTATCTCAATTACATTGATGAATTGAACTCACTTTTCATGTTCACCTAGTTGATCTTTATATGTTTGTTGTTTGATATATTGGATAAAATGTATGGATTTTTTTTAATTGATATTTAATTTTGATATTTTAAATGTGAAGATTTATTTGGTTATTGTTGTATTGTAAAAATTTATCGGATTGCTTTTTCTTTTGTCTAATTGGATATTATTATATTTCATATTAAAAATGACATTTAATATTTCAATAAATTCTTAATTATTGACCCATTTTTGTGTCTAATAGGATAAATTAGTGATGACCTGGTGTAGTTACTATCGGATTAAACAGCGAGCAGTTTTTGTGGTCACTAATCAGATTAAACAGTGACCACTTTCTATGGTCACTAATCAGATTAAACAGTGACGATTTTAATTTGTCACTAAGTAGATAAAATAGTGACAACTTTAATTGGTTAGTGACAACATTTAGTGACGAAGTGGGTCGTTACAGATTTAGTGACAAGTATATTTTAGTCATTGTTTAGTGACCATATTTATATTTGGTCACTAAATTGGTTTTGTAACGGACCTATAGTGACGAAAAGTGATGACCAGAATTTTCGTCACTAAATCATTTAGTGACGATTCATTCTATTGTCAGTGACCATATCATTTTGGTCACTAATTGGTATTTTTTTTGTAGTGAAACTGTAACCTTAGGAATATGTCTAAAAAACTCAAAATTTGTAAAAAGTCATTTTAAGCGAAGCAATTATTCTAGTCTCATAGTACGTGTTTCCTTGAGTCCAAGAATATAAAGAACATCCAAAATGGAGTTTGTATTCAAAAGAAACAACAGTTTTAAGAAGTCAAACCGATATAACACTGGTTTTACCTGTTCTAAGTAAACTATTTCACAACGTCGAGACACTTAATCATTACTGATGAGATTTTTGAGAACATTTTTTAAATCAGACTATAGTCTATTATTTAATTTCATACTCAAAATATTTTTAACAAAAATATTTACAAAAGTCGTGTGTAACGTCCCAAATATCACGACTAAAATTTTCTTTTTAAAACATTACTAAAACCGTATTTATAAAAACCGTATCATAAGTCATAACATAATTTCATAGCATTAATTCGAATACAAACTTATTATCAGAGTAAAACATCCCAGGCTAGCTGACTATGGTGTTTGCACTGCAATCTCTCCGAGCTCCTCTTTTGAAAACTGAGTACCTGAAACCAAAAACTAAAAGTGTAAGCACGAAGCTTAGTGAGCTCCCCCAAACTACCACATACCATACAATAACATATAAAGCACATATTGGGCCTTGCCCACTGCATCGGACCGAGGTCCGGACTAACTGGGGCCTAGCCCCCTGTATCGGACTGAAGTCCGGAAACTGACTGGGACCTTGTCCCCTGCATCGGACCGAAGTCCGGACTAACTTGGGCCTTGCCCCCTGCATCGGACCGAAGTTCGGAAACTGACTGAACATAGCATATCATAACATATCAACTAGCATGAACACATATACTGCATACTGCATCTGGCCGTAGCCCAGAACACATAACACATAAATCCTGTCTGAGCCACGAAGGCATCAAACATACTAACTACTGCATCGGAACGAAGTCCGGAAAATACTGCTAACTGAACCGGTCGACATTGTGGCCATAGACCCGTTCCCACTAGAAGGAAACTCACTTAAACTTGTGAATTTTGCTGGTAACCCTCGGACTGCTAACCAACCACCGTTTGAAACGCTGCTCCTCTAACTCTCCGAGCTACCAATAACAAAGCGACACTTAGCCTAACAGTCCTCTAAAAGTCAACTAACTGAACTCCGATTAAAGTCAAAATCCTGGCCAAAGTCAACCTTCCATGTTGACCCTACTCGCCGAGTCAGCCTACTGACTCGCCGAGTTCACTGATTTCCGAGTTCTGTCCTGTCCAACTCACTGAGTCCACACTCAACTCACTAATATGAGCCTTGACTCGAAGGGTTTGGGGTTTCGCGAGTTGAGTCACCGAGTCCAAGAACAGACTCGCCGAGTCCAAGGCAATCTTCAACAGACTCGTCGAGTTGTTCATCCAACTCGTCGAGTTCGCCTCCATCTTCATACTACTCGCCGAGTTCACTCAATGGACTCGCCGAGTCTATTCAGTCCTTAATCCATGCAGTGGCTTTTCGAGCCAAACAGGGCTTCCAACTCATAGATCCATACTTCTAAGGCCTATCGCTCACGTAAAGTGGCGAACTTTACGTGTAGAAAAAGAGATCTAGGCTTAAAACAATCCAACTAGGGTTTAAGACAAGGAGGCTTCACTATCAACCCAAGAACGGATGCTTTATGACTTTCCAGGCCAAGATACACTCAGATCTGGGCTTCTAACTCGAAATAGTTCTTAAGCATGGCATAAAAGCCCCAAATCTCATAGCCAAGGTTGATCTATTAAACAAAAGAGGGAAGGTAACGATTTATTGCCTTTAAATGCTCAGAAATGCTCCACCAACTCTGGATCCGAGGCCCCCTTCTTGCTCCACTATGACTATCTTCTCTCTCAAGCTCCCAAAAGCTTCACCAAGGGTAGATCTTGCTCCAAAAACGATTATGGCAGCTAGGGTTTAGTGTTCTGTGTTAGAGAGGTAGTAAAGGAACCCTAGGGGAGAGAATGAGATGTTTAAATAGGCTCCAAGTCCCGGATTTAGGGTTTTCCTCGCTCAGACCCAACTCGCTGAGTACACGAGTCTACTCGTCGAGTTGGTCATTACTTGGTCCTCCGGATCCCGCTCTGACTCGTCGAGTTCCTCCCTGGACTCGACGAGTCCACTCCTTGACTTATGGTTTTTCATTCCTTTTTCTTGGCCTTTCTGATCTTGGGTGTTACAACTCTCCCCCACTTAAACAAATCTTTGTCCTTAAAGTTTGCTATGGCTAACTGTTCTGCGAGCTGCCTTCAACTTTCTGTCTGGGGAAAACCAAACACCCTAACCCTTGTGGACTACCTCCACGGGCCTTACGCTCGGTCATCCTGGATGACATGATCCTTACAGATAAAACTTGCCGAATACAACCTAATCATTCAACTTTCTGAGAACACCTCCTGCTCTACTGGAAATCATTCCAGTACTTCCTCAAGTAATTATGTTGAACCTTCGAGTAAAAGGTTCATCTATGCAACGGTTAAGACTCATACGAGAGCTGAGTAACAAGATAAAACCCTCCCCTCTGAGATTATCCAACCCTGTTGTGAGAGGCGTAGTACCCTCGGCCAAGTTGCTGCTTCTTACTATACTTCCCTTATCGTTACTACCACAGACTAAAAATTCTGCCGCCTCTCATCCGCCTACCGGATGCACTGAAACCACCCAGGTCCAACTAATATGGCTGAACTTGCAGTCCGACACAAAACTAATACTGCCCAATATACTGCAACTATCTGAAACACTGAACTGCCTGAAACACCGAACTGTCTGGAACACTAAACTGACGGAAACACTGGATTGCCTGCAGAACTGAACTGCCTGATGGCCGATTCCCAGAATATCTCGAGACCTTCCTGGTTTCCAACCATTCCTCGGTTATCTACAACACCGATTTCCAACTCAACTGTAGAGCCCAAGAACTCCTTACCTAGTCACTCCCACGACTTTTGAACGAAACCTTTCTTTGGAACTAGTTTCCACTAGTCATCCTGTTACTGTGGCCATAACAACCTCCCGATCCAACTAACCGGATCCAAACATCGAATCCAAACATCAACAAATCCAAGACTATAATGATTGCTCCCAGGCTAATGGTAGCCCTTAACATACATGAACCCCAATGGTTCACTGCTTCCCTGATCTCATAACTGTGTTGACGATCCATCTGTCGCATTGCTGGCTCAACCATGAATAAACTCTGGAAAATTCGAAATCCAACCCGTGGATTTCCATATTCTCGCTGCTGCACACGAACTGGTGGGTACTACTGCTTCCCCCTGCATCCATACAACGCGCTCATGCTGTCTAATAACCTAGCGAATGCTACGGCTACACCCGTAGACCTACAACTCCCTAATACTGTCTGGCTGCTAGTGAACGCTTCGTCTACCCCCGCAGGCTTACATCACTCTACTACTATCTGACTGCTAGGGAATGCTATGGCTACCCCCCGCAGACTCATAACTCTCTACTACTATCTGACTGCTTACCA